ACTTCCAAACAGATTCTGGCTCATTGCTGTGTCGAAAAATGATCTCCTCACCACATTTATTATATAAGTACAATTTCAAATATTCTCATCATGACCTTTTGCAAATTCATGCAATTCCACACAATAAAGACTGCAAAGATAAATCAGGTATTTTAATGTAGTATGGAAAATCCAATGACATTTTCTGATCTTGTTTGTGTTCTGAATGGTGGATGCCAAAAGATATGTATCTTGTAATCTAATATTTAGATTACTTTAAAAAATATATTTTATTGATTTTTTACAGAGAGGAAGAGAGAAAGATAGAGAGTTAGAAACATTGATGAGAGAGAGACATCAATCAGCTGCTTCCTACACACCCCATGTTGGGAATGTGCCCGCAACCAAGGTACATGCTCTTGACCGGAATCAAACCTGGGACCTGTCAATCCACAGGCTGACGCTCTATCCACTGAGCCAAACTGGTCTCGGCTGTATTTAAGTTACTTTACATGTTGCTCAAATCTCATGGACATTGAGGTAATGAAAACCTTCCATCAGATAATTTTTATATGGAGTCCATAATAAGCAAACTATATAACAGCCTATAGCTCACAGCAAACAGAAAAAAACTTTTCTTTGTTATGTCAGTTGGTTAGTTAAGGAAACCGGGTTGATATTATTTATTTATTTTCACCTTTATCTCACTAATTTTGACATGCTACAGTAAATTATCACGGTCAATTTTTTGTGTTTTCTGAAGATTGCCTAGCTTTCTATACACACAAAACATTAGTCAATTCAGATTAGTGATTTGTGTATTTGGTTAAATTGGAATAAATATTTGCACTGTGACAATTTTTGTTTTTCTAAAACCTTTCATATTGAACAATACTGTCTGTTTTAAAAGGGGACATAGCTTTAGCTGTCTTTATTTCTACTATGTCAAAATCATCGCTGCTAGGGTTAGACAGATCACCAGTTCATTTTATGTGTCAGAATGATTCATTGTGAAGATTTTTTAAAAAAATATATTTTATTGATTTTTTACAGAGAGGAGGAGAGAGGGATAGAGAGCTAGAAACGTCGATGAGAGAGAAACATCGACCAGCAGCCTCTTGCACACCCCTACCGGGGATGTGCCCACAACCAAGGTACATGCCCTTGACCGGAATCGAACCTGGGACCTTTCAGTCCGCAGACCGACGCTCTACCACTGAGCCAAACCGGTTTCAGCTCATTGTGAAGATTTGGTGCTATATGGAACATAGAGTTGGAGTTCTAATTTTGTTAAAAACGTGTGTCATCCTGGTGGATGTTGCTCAGTGGTTAGAATACCAGCCCGCTCACTGACGAGCCCCAGGTTTGATTCCTGGTCAAGGGCCAGTACCTGGATTGCAGATTTGATCCCCAGGTCAGGCTAGGGCATATGTGGGAGCAACCAATCTCTCTCTCTCTCTCTCTCTCTCTTTCTCTCTCTCTCTTTCTCTTGCTCTCTCTTGCTCTTTCTCCCACTCTCTCTAAAAATCAACGGGAAAAATATCTGCCAACATGCTGAAATCACAGCACTCACATATTTACATATAATGCAAAACACTGAAAAGATGGGCCTTAATATATTCTGTTTCAGAAATTCTTGGACTCATGGTAGACACTATTTTACAGTACCATTTTTCTTTTGTTATATGCAAGGAAGAATGACCTAAACATGAGTCCCATTTCATATCTAATTTTATAGACTATAATCATGTTTGCTTTATAAAGACACATAATATTAAAAAAATATGCCACCAAATTAAAAAAAGTTATGGAAGCTGATAATGTTCAAATGTATGAATCAAATAATACTTACTATATAATGGCATAAAAATGTAATAAAAAAGGAACTAAAGATGTTTTTCCCCCCCTTAAATCAGACTCACTAAAGTTACCCAAATGATTATAGGGGTAATGTTATTATCAAAGTATGTGTGAACATAGGAAGTCAAGTTTCTTGGGAAAACAAAAGTAGACAGACACAAATTAGTTCTAATGAGTAAAAAAGTAACTCAATGCAAGTGGACTTCACAAAACTGAGGATGTAACTTTGTCATCCAGACCAGAAGATTTAATTTTTACCTAAGCTATGTATTAGGGTTCCCTAGAGAAACAGACCAATAGGCTGTATGTAAGGACAGATAGAGATTTACTGTAAGGAATTGGCACACACCACCATGGACGAGGGCAAGTCCCAAGAACTGCCACACGAGTTGGCAAGCTGGAGACCCAGGAAAAATGAATGATGTATAATTCCAGTCCAAGTCCAAAACCTTAGAAACAGGAGAACCAGGTGTAGTTCCTGTTCAAAGGCCAGCAGACTTGAGAGCTAGGAAGAGCTGTTGTTTCAATTTGAGTTTAAAGAAAAAAAGAAAAAAAAGAAAAGAAAAGAAAAAAGAAAACAAATCTGATGTCCCATTTTGAAAGCAGTAAAACAGGGAGAATTCCCTCTTATTTGGGAGTCATCCTGTTTTGTTCTGTTTAGGCTTTCGACTGATTGGATGAGGCCTATCCATATTAATCTGCTTTACTCAGTCTACTCATTCAAATGTGAAATTCATCCAGAAAAACTCAGAATAATGTTTGACCAAATATGTTAGCACCTTGTGGTCCAGGTAGGTTGCTACATAAAATTAACCATACAATATAGTGAACATTTATTATTTATACACTAAAAAGGAATAATGTATTTAAGACAAAAGTATTTTTTCTTTTTAATATATTTTATTGATTTCAGAGAGGAAGAGAGAGGGAAAGAGGGATAGAAGCATCAATGATGAGGATCATTAATCAGCTGCCTCGTGCTCACCCCCCAACTGGGGTTTGAGCCCACAACTTGGGTATATGCCCTGATTAGGAATCGAACTGTGGCCTCCTGGTTTATAGGTTGACACTCAACCACTGAGCCAAAAATATTTGTTCAAATGGACTTTCCTAATATTTCACCTACAAAAATAATGCCTGATATTTGCTAGACATTTAGTTATAAGAAGTATTCATGGATCATTGCAGTGCAACTAAATGTCAAGTCTTATATTTCGAGGCCTGACAGGTAAAGCCTTTGAAATTGTCTACTTTCAGGCCTAAAAAATCACATGTAGTATTTTGGCCAGGAGCTGGATCGATTCCTCACTAAGGAGTTTATAAAAAGAAGGAAGAGTAGTCTATGTGCTAGAATTTCTGATTAAAGGTGAAAAAGTCACATATTGTGAATAGTTACTTTACAGTGTAGGAAAGAAAGGATAGATGATTAGGCCAGATTAGGTCAGAACAGTCAAAGAATAGGTCAAAGTCAAATGTTTCTTCTCAAACTGCTGAGAAGGTCTCTTATGGGAACACCGTTGATGTTTTCAACTCCTGTGTGGACAGGAGTGAGGGTTCAGGATAATCTGGATGCAAGGTCGTTTGGAGATTGTATTTCTTTGTGGCCATCAGTGAGAGTGCAGAGTCTGGGAGCCAGAAGTGGTAAAGGGGGACTGTGTGCCAGATTGTCTATGTTTCATCCCTGACTGGTGCAGACCGACTCCACTGTGCGCAGGAGTCTGACGAAGACCAGGGAGGGAAGGGGCTGCAAAAGAAGTGCCTCTACAGGAGTGTTCCCTTCCTTGTCTTATTGCCAATGAGGATGAGGCCTTCAGGAACACCATCTTCGAGGTAGAGGTTGAGAGAAGATTGACAGGTAGCTGAACATCAACTGGAAAACCCAGTCACCAGTTGGGACTCAGTGACCATGTTTCTTCCCCCATTGGGCCCTGTCTTTCTATAATAGGATGTTGCCTTAGAGCACATGTGTCAAACACAAAGCCCTTGGGCCAAATCCGTCCCGCCAGGCCTTGCAATGTGGCCCGCACCGCTCTGTCATCACTGCACTCCGCTGTGTTTCCATCACAATGACAGTTTATGACTGTTCAGTAAATCATTCGGCCCGCGATTTAGGCTGGATTTTAGATTTTGGCCCCTTCTCTGATTGAGTTCGACACCCCTACTTAGAGCAAGAACAGGCCCCGCAGTCTGCCTTAAGAATGTGAGAGGGTTGTTTGCTGAATTCTGCAGGCATCTCCAGAGGCCAAAGAGCAAGCAAACATTCTCAGACCTCTTCCCCTTCAACCCAATCCTGCCTCTCACCCAGCATCTAGGGAGATGGGTGCTATCTGGGAAGAAAGCACATGGATAAAACATATGAAAGGGAGGTAGGGACTGCCTATGTTCCTTTTTGTTTTTCATTGCTAAAATTGCACTGTTCATTGCAATGTAAAATGTATCCTGAAGGTGGAGAGGAGTGTTTAATACACAATGCTGGTGCATCTTCTTGTTTCTTGTATCTTCTCTCCCTCCTCTTCCCCACCCCCTGTTTGTGGCAGGAGACTGATAATTCTGCTCCTGATCTTCCCATCTGGTATCTTGTTTTCTCATCAAGTTTGATTATATTTTCTATTCTTACTATCTCTCCATTGGTGAGATTCTGGTGAAGGTCTCTGCAGCTGTCTCATTCCTTCCCAATGGCAGTGACATAAAATGAGTCTCTAAGCAGCGTTGAAAGCTCAGCTACCCTCTGAATTTAGGGTACAGATTCCTGTCCACTTCTTGTCATGGATTAGCAGGCTGAGAACTAGGGTTAACTTTGGCTCCATTTGGAGAAACTTCCTGCCTCTTCTTTCATATGTATGCAAGGTTTCCTTAAAGTGGTTCAGTTGTTTCATTTGTATGAAGGTGTTGAGAGAGAATGAAAAACGTTAAGCCCAGAGTCCCGAGAGAGATTCTCCACCCTGGCTATTCATCAGAATCAAATTGAAGTTTAAAGAAATCTATATGCTCGAGTGCTGTGCTGGGTGAATGAATGATGTAATTGTACAGGGTATGGGGTGGAGTCTGGCTTGGCATCCAGTTGAGGGAAGGTGGAGGGGAGAGTTGAGAAAGTGTTGCAAAAGCATGGGTTATTCTTCATTGAGATAAAAGATTTGGTTTTCCTGATTCATTACAAAACCTATAATTTTCCCAAGCTGGTGTCTCCAACCAAATTCCATATAATACATTGAAAGAAATGCTCTTAAAAGAAAACATTTTAAAGGTCAGGTCCTAAATAATCAAAGCCAAGTATAACTGTGATTTGAGTTTATCTCCTCTCTTGAAGAGCATCTTTCTAAGGACATCTATGTCTCTTAATTATGTCCCACAAAATAAAAAATTATAACTTTGGCATTTCACAAGCTGAAACCACTTAAAAGTCCTTAGAACTAGAAGCAGTAGGAATTTCCAGACCTGATCCTGGTGGTTTTGTTGACAGACTGGGCAAGCTTCATCATAAGACGTAAAAGACAGTCAAGTACTTTGACATTCTTGGGTCAGAGAGGGCAATGTTCTGTACCTCCTCTCCTCCCCATCCCCACTTTTAATCTTTGGGAAAGATGTAGCATGTTGTCTTTCCCACTATTCTGCCTTTCTACTCAACAATTCCCATCTTTCCTGAAGTAATAGCATCTGGAAATATTTTTATACTGTCTAGGTTAGCAAACTGCCCAGTTAGCCTAATGCTTTTAAAAAATATACTCATCATTTTGAAAATCTAATAAATTCCAAAGCGAATTTTTAAAAATTTATCTTTATTGCTGAAAGTATTACAGATGTCCCCTTTGTCCCCTCTCCCCCCTTCCGCATTGACTCCCTCCACCAAACACCCACCCTTCTCAGGCCTTCACTACACTATTTTCTGTGTTCATGGGTTATGCATATCTATCTATCTATCTATCTATCTATCTATCTATGTATCATCTATAAGAGGTAATATGCAAACTAGGCTAGGATGCTGTAATAGTCACAACTGGTCAGGAGGAGGCTGTGTATGCAGGTGAGGCTCAGAGAGGAGACAGAGATGGAGACAGAGACAGAGACAGGGTTGCCTGCCTGAGCTGCTGAACTGGCTCAGATGGCCCTGGAGTAGAGACAGGAAGAGGGACAAGGGGGTGGGGGGCCACCCTGGAGCAGACACTGGCAGGAGGTCAGGGGGACATGGGGCAGACACAGGTAGGGGGGCCACCACAGAACGGACACAGGCAGGGGTGCAGGGGGACCTGGGGCAGACACAGGCAGGGGGCCAGCTCCAGCTAATGTGCACCAGCAGTCCAGCCTCTGCACATGAGCTGCAGAGGAAACACCTTTCTGACTGCTCATTGGCTAAGCTCCCAGTACGCCAATCGCAGTGTTCTTGGTAACTTGGGTAGTAAGAATCCAAAAAGGTGATCTAGGGTTTTTCCACCTCACTCCTGGAGGAAAAAATGAAGGTCTGCTGTTGGAGGGGCTAAGAAATGTCATATCCTGCCCTAGCTAGTTTGGCTCAGTAAATAGAGCTTCAGCCTGCCGACCACAGGGTCTGGGTTTGATTCTGATTAAGGGCATGTATCTAGGTTGCAGGCTCCTCCCTGGCTGGGGCCCAGGTCAGGGCTCATGCAGGAGGCAACCAATGGAAGTCTCCCTCTCACATTGACATTTCTCTCTGTCTGTCCCTCTCTCTTCCACACTCTCTAAATGGAAAAATATCCTCAGGTGAGGATAAAAAAGAATGAAAGAAAGACATGTCATATCCTATGAAAAAGACATCTTGAAAATGCCTAAAGAAAGTTGCCATTTTTTCATGGTGAAGGAACTGGAGTCCATGTTGATGAAAACACCTTGGCAGCTGCAGTGGTCAGCAGTGGCAGCAGCAGTGGGGTGATGAGTGTGGCACCTTCCCCTAATCAGCCAGTTGCCTCCCACAGAGGGAGGCCAGACTGTGGCTTAGACCCGTGGGGAGCTGGCCTAAGCTGTTAGTAGGACATCCCCTGAGGGCTCCCAGACTGTGAGAAGGGGCAGATTGGGCAATGAATTTCATGCACCAGGCCTCTAGTATGCATATAAATTCCCTGGTTAATTTCTCACCCACCACCTCCCCACTCCAGCCTTTCCTCTGAAATTCATCAGTCTATTCTATGTTGGTTTTGTAATTTGGGTGAGACATCCTATTTGATGAATGAGATCACACTATTTTTGTGTGTGTGACAGTGCAAGGCCCTATGCATTTTTAAAATTTTATTTATTTACTTGGGGCCCAGTGCATGAATTCATGCACCTTAAAAGGAGCTGTGAGCCACGAGGCTGTGGTGGGCACAGGGACAGGTCTTCTATCCCCCCACCTGGCTCCTGGTTACCTCTCTGCTGCCAGTCCTGCTCCCACTGCCATTGCTCCCATGTGCTGATGGCACCAGCCCCACTCTCACTCGCTGACAGTGTGGAGCAATTGAGTGGGTGTGAGCTTCAGAAATGGGTGTGAGTGGGGTTGGTTGGCACTGTCAGCAGGTGCGAGTGGCAGCTGCTGCCCCAATTGGCCCTCAGGAGCAGGAACATGTGGATAAGCTCTCAGGAACAATTGGGACTGGAAGTTTCTGCTCATACCTGCTGACAGCACCTAGTGATAAAGACTGGTACTGGGCACCAGCAGTGAGTATGAGTGGCCACTCTGGCGCTGGCTGTGGGTGCAAGCAGAGCCAGTGCTGGCAGTGGGTGTGAGCGGCAGCTCTGGTACCAGCAGTGGGTGTGAGTGGGGCTGTTGTTGGCAGCTGCCAGCCCTGATCGATCCTCAGGAACCAGGGGAGGTTGAGAAGCCCTGAGGGGTAAACAGGGCTGGCAGCAGCTGCTTGTACCCACTGGTGGTGCCAAGCGACTGGGGCTGGCACTGGGCACTGGAAACTGGTGTGAGCAGCAGCTCTGGGGCTGGCAGTGGAAGGAGGCTGGGCAGGACTGTGGTGCATGGGAGCAAAGAATTTTCGCCCTGATGACAATGACTGGTGCCCCACCTTGGTCTGGTGCCCCTGCTCACCTGCTCCACCATCCCACTGTGGCTGATGCCCGCCATGTTCCGTACTCTGCTGTCTGCTGCCAATGCCCACCATGTTCCTTTTGGACCCCCTGGTGGTCAACACATGTCATAGCGACCAGTTGTTCAGTTGTTCAGTTTGGTTGTTCAGCTATTTGGTCTATTTCCATATTAGGGTTATATATATATAGAGAGAGATTTTTAATCTTCACCCAGGGATATTTTTCCATTGATTTTTAGAAAGAGAGGAAGAGAGAGGGAAAGAAACATTGATGTGAGAGAAGCATATTGATTGGTTACTTCCTGAATGTACCCCGGACTGGGGAGGAACCTGTAACTGAGGTATGTGCCCTTGACTGGAATTGAACTTAAGACTCTTCTGTCTGCAAGCTGATGCTCTATTCACTAAGCCAAACCAGCTAGGGCCATTTTTAGCCATACTACACTACACAGAGTGTTTTCCATGTTCTGTTCTTTTCTGAGAACGAAATAAATCCTCTGCCCCAGTTCAATAAGCACTGCAATTTCCTATTCAAGTGTCAAAGCGCTGATGTCTGCTAGCCCATCCCCAGTTGAGATAGTGCAGAAAAGGCTTCAATCATCTCCAAACCTAGTGTAAGCATATCACTCAGCATTCTAGAAACAACTAAGCAGATGCCATTCTACTGAGCCAGAGAAGAGGGGGCAAAGGCCAGCTCATGTGCTGCTTCCCAAGCTGTGCTGGGAGACATTTGCCTAATGTCCTGAGATGGGACAAGGGTTCACACAAATAATTTTCCTCTTCTATTTAGAAATGACTGTGTTCGGCACAATATAGAAGGTCTACTAGTAAAAAAGAAACACTGGTCTTGGAGATGTTTGGGTAAATACTTAAAAAAAAAAATATATATATATATATATATATATATATTATTTTGTACAGAGAGGAAGGGAGAGAGATAGAGAGTTAGAAACACCGATGAGAGAGAGTCATCGATCAGCTGCCTCTTGCACACCCCCTACTGGGGGTATGCCTGCAAGCAAGGTACATGCCCTTGACCGGAATCGAACCCGGGACCCTTCAGTCCCCAAGCCAACGCTCTATCCATTGAGCCAAACCGGTTTCAGCTGGGTAAATACTTTTTGATGGGATAGCTTACAGAACTGATATTCTGGTTTATTGAAAAGTATTTGTCACATGAATTACCAATTTCAAAAATGAAACTTCCTAAGAAATGTTTTTCACTACTTTTTTAAAAAAAGTATCATTTATTTATTTATTTATTTATTTATTTAATATATTTTACACAGAGAGGAATTGAGAGGGATAGAGAGTTAGAAATGTCAATGAGAAAGATACATCGACCAGCTGCCTCTTGCACACCCCCCACTGGGGATGTGCCCGCAACCAAGGTACGTTCCCTTGATCAGAATTGAACCCGGGACCTTTCAGTCCGCAGGCCGACGCTCTATCCATTGAGCCAAACTGGTTTCGGCTTCACTATTTTTTAATGAACCAAATTTCATATTCGTGTGGCAAATTCCAAGAAACCTGAGGATTCTGCAGTTTCTGAACAACATTGTTATCAATATTATACATCATTAAGATACAACTTCTGGCTCTTTTGTTTATTTGGGTTCCAGATTAACCATAGCTTAAAAAAAAATAACACTGTGCATTTCATTGGTGCATTCATTCAGTATCCATTTATTGCCCTATTCCAAAATTATACCATTTTATTACTCTGGAGAACAAATGATCTCTTTTAGGTTATTCTCTTGACTTTAGGATACATTTCAGATAAGCAGGGACACAAGGAATGCTGTCTTGGGTAGATCACCAACTCAGATAGTTCTCTTAAAATGCTTTCAGTAAGTGCAGTTTTTGAATTTTTCTTTGGAATCATATACCATTAAATATTAATAAAGATGAGAGTTCACTAAAGCTATACCCAAATCATTAGCATTCATGAGACAAAGATGAAAAATTAAGATAAAAGGAATTAAAATAAAAGTGGGTGCTCTAACTTTTGATGTTTTTAGCAAACAAACAAACAAATAAAACAAACAAACAACCACCCTTTCATTTTTATTTTCAAGTATTTGATAGCATCAACTTAAAGTAACCTTGCCTTAGATCTCAGCATAAATATTCACTTAACAACTCTAACTGATCAATGTAAACTCACTAAACAAATGGCTTGTGAGTTATACCTGATCCTATAAACTGCATGAGTACTAAGTTCATAATTGACTTATTTAGGTCTGTCTCTTTGACATTAGCCCAGATCATGATGAGTCTTATATATCTCATTTAATATGTTTGAAAATATACCAAGTGCTAAAAGAGATAAAATATTCATCTGGTCTAATTAAACGTCTATTTTGGCATGAACCATATATTTGAGTAGAAGACAGACTGCATTACTTCTTAAATAAGATAAGGGGTTAGTGCAGTTCTGCTTGGTCTGGCAGGATCCAGGAAATGCTTTCAGAAGGTCTTATTTTCAAAACATATTTTTACAGTCTAAACTTCCCATACTTGCATTTTGCAAGTATATACTTTAAATATCCAAGTGGCTTGCATTTTCATTCTTTAATGGTGCTTTTTGAACTATAGGTGCTCTTACTTTTAGAGTCCTATTTGGCAAGTAATATTTTCAATTATAGATTTTTTTCTTAAGTAAATTTGACCTGCTCTATTGTCACAAAGTCATATTTATTTTGATAGCTTTATTGATTTACATTGACATTAAATCCTAAATCTATCTGAATTTGTTTTAGTGTGGTATGAGATAGACATTGTTTCTATGTGGATAACAATTGACCAACACAAGCTATTAACATGTCCATTTTGCCTCTGTTCTATTTCATTGGTCAGTAGTGATGGTAATATCTATAACACATGTGTCAAACACAAGGCCCGCGGGCCAAATCCGTCCCGCCAGGCCTTGCAATGTGGCCCACACCGCGCTGTCATCACTGCACTCCGCTGCGTTTCCATCACAATGACAGTTTATGACTGTTCAGTAAACCATTCGGCCCGCGATTTAGGCTGGATTTTAGATTTTGGCCCCTTCTCTGATTGAGTTCGACACCCCTAATCTATAGCTTTATCATAGGACTGGATATCTGGCACAGTTTCCATCTCTTAGGAAATGTGAGATTGTAATAGGCATCAGAAACACCAGAAAAGGTGTAATCAGATACCCCCTGAGTTGAAGGGAAGGGGCTGTCCCCTCCTTAGTTCTTGTCAGGCTTGTGGGAGAAAATTCAAATGAGTGACTGTGGACGGTTGCATTGTAGTAAAGCAAATTTATTAAAGAAATAAAGGCCTAACCGGTGTTGCTCAGTGATCAGGGCACATGCCTGGGTTGCATATGGCTCTAAGTTAGCTAATCAATAATGTTTCTCTCTCATTGATGTTTTTATCTCTCCCTTCCTCTCTCTAAAAATCACATGAAATAAAGGGAGTAAATTCATTAAAGAAGTAAAGCAAGCAAATTTATCAAAATACATCTGGCTTATGAAGTAGAGACAAATTTCCCAGCTAATCTGAGAAGCCCTGCTTGGTAAAGGTTTGTTTTTTATACTTTTCTGTCTACAGGGTTTAAAATTCCTCTGCCAGATATCCTGGCACAGGATAGCTCTCAAGGTCTTCCTTTTATATCTTCATTTTTAAATGAAATCTTTATTGTTGAAAGTATTACATATGTCCCTCATTGACTCCTTCTAGCATGCCCCCTTCCTTTTATTTTTTGTGGGGCTTTCCCAGAATTTATGAGAAACATCTGGCAATTTTATCTTTAACAAGCCCAGAGACTGCTGGCTTCTCTGTTTGAACAGTGAGATGAAAACTCCCTCTTCTATCCCTCTTCCCAAAGATGGCTGGCTTCTTTGTTTAGTGGGTGAGATAAACACTCCCTTCTTTCCTTCTCCCTTCCTGTCTCCAGTCTTATCAATTCTAAGGTGATTGAAGTTATATGTTCTTTGTTTAGGGAGAAGGTTTAGCCATTTGTTCTCAAGAGTCCTTGGCTGGGAAAGATAAGATCTTTCTTCAGATTGGCTGCAAGCTGCCCAAACTGTTTGACCTTGTTTAATTTTCTTGTCTCAATTTCCCTATTCCTCCTGCCCTGGAATTTTCCTAGCTTCTGATGGGTGCTAAGGTGCTAAGGTGCTGTACCCTGTTACAAGATGAGTAGGAGTTCCAGAGTAACTGTGCAAGAAATTAGGTGGACCTTCTCTTTAGTTATTTAGTTGATGAAAAAAAAAAATTAATGTCTTTTGAAATTGATCTAAGGGCATACAACAAATGAAGAAACATTTATCCAAACAAATGTTCTAAATCTTGCCAAAAGCTAAAAGAAATTGTGGCATTTGACTTATGACATATCCCTTCTAATAGGTAATCTGTGCTACTTTCTGTATTCTGGACAAATATGGCCCATATGAGTGAGTTCATTAAACACTACGATCCCAGTCTAGTGCTGTGATTTCACCCAAGTAAGAACAGACCTCATACTTATCTACTTCTCATGTAACTTCTGCAATGGAAATTATATATCATGTAGCCAGGGACAAATTTATTCACCCCACTGTTACTCAAAGGGTGAGAGTTATGCCTCTGGCACAATAGGCTTAGAATACTGAGTCTCCAATTTTGTTTGACTCAGTTTGATGTAGAGCCACTGTTCTCTGCCAGGAGGGGCAGGTTAAGACAACCATGGTCTACCATTCTTCTTGTTCTTGTTCTTGTTCTTGTGGTGTTCATGTCTTGTTCTTGTCTTGTCTTGTGTCTTCTTGTTCTTGTCTTGCTCTTCTTGTTCTCTTGCCTTGTCCGTCTCTCTTCTCGTCTCTCTTCTTCTGTCTTCCCTCTTCCTCTTCTCGTCTTCCTCTCCTTCGCCGTCTTCTCCTCCTCGCCTCCTCTTTCTTCTCCTCATCCTCCCTCCTCCTCCTCCTCCTCCTCCTCCCCTCCTCCTTCTCCTTCTTCTTCTTCTTCTCCTCCTCCTCCTCCTCCTCCTCCTTCTTTTTCTTCCTCCTCCTCCTCTTCCTCCTCCTCCTCCTCCTCCTCCTTCTCCTCCTCCTCCTCTTCTCCTCCTCTTCCTTCTCCCTCCTCTTCCTCCTCCTCTTCCTCCTCATTTTCCTTCTCCTTCTTCTTCTTCTTAAATATATTTTTATTGATTTTTTACAGAGAGGAAGGGAGAGGGATAGTTCGAAATATTGATGAGAGAGAAACATAGATTAGCTGCCTCCTGCACACCACTGAGTGTGGGGATGTGCCCACAACCAAAATACATGCCCTTGACCAGAATCGAACCTGGGACCCTTCAGTCCATAGGCCGATGCTCTATCCACTGAGGCAAACCAGTTAGGGCTACCATCTTCAGGCATCAGCTGGTGGAGTGCTTATATCACTCTGATAGAGAGATATGCTTTACACACCTACAACTTTTATGTGGTGGCACAGATGCTGTGCCCAAAAACAGGTCATGGGAAGAGCTCTTTCTGAGTAGACTGACTTTACTTGGTACACAGAATAAAAAAATTCATGCATAAGGGTATTGTTGAAAACATATAGATTTTGGTGCTAAGCACTTAGGAGAAGGCTGTCGACTCCACGAACCTAACAGCAACAAGTAAGACTGAAAACCACCAGAAGTTACACAAAGAGGCCAGATGAAGAGACAGCCCACAAAATCCTTCCTGGATCATACTCATCACTGTGTGTCTAAAAGGTTGTGCATGGGTGCTAAGGTGCATGTCCTCTGTAGCAACCAGACTATCACGTTCAGCAGACTTAAAATGTCACCAGGCCCCAATAAGAACCCACTGGCTCAAGGGGAATAAATGTATTTTCTAACCAATACTAGGTGTACAGAAAGCCACTTTGAATTTCAAGAAAGACATAACATTTAAAACAAACAAACAAAAAGTAAATATACAAATAAGGATGAGATGGAAAATTTTGAGCTGAAAAATAAAATATTTAGTAGAAGAGATTAGCATAGGATTTCAGCAGGTAGAAGGAAGAATCAGCATTTTGAAGGTAGTTTATTAAGAGTCTCAAAATCTGAAGAAAAAATAATTGTCCATGCTATGAGAATTAAATGATGCATTTTGAAGCAATGGGTTGATATCTTTCCTACCTTGAAAAATTAAAAAAACAAACAAACAAAAAAAACCAGCTTTTGCACTCACTTCACACTTTTCATTTTCTCTAGGTCTCCAATTTTAGAGCTGTTCGAACTTTTGATATTTTCCATATATTTCTTGTGTGTTTTTTTTTTTTTTAATTCTTCTAACTTTATGTGTATGTTAGAGGCCTGGAGCATAAAATTCATGCATGGGGGGTAGGGGGTGGGGTGAGGTGGTGTTTCCCTCAGCCCAGTCTGCACCCCCTCCAAACTGGGACATCCCTCTCACAATCTAGGACTGCTGGATCCCATCTGCTCGTCTGTCTGCTTTCCTGATTGCCCCTAACTGCTTCTGCCTGCCAGCGTGATCACCCCCTAACCACTCTCATGTCAGCCTGATTGATGCCTAACTGCTCCCCTGCCAGCCTGATTGCTCCTAACTGCCCTCCCCTGCAGGCTTGGTAATCCCTAACTGCCCTCCCCTGCAGGCTGGTCACCCCTAACTGCCCTTCCCTGCAGGCCTGGTCCCTCCCAACTGCCCTCTCCTACAGGCCTGGTCCCCCACAACTGCCCTTCCCTGCAGGCCAGTCACACCCAACTTCCCTCCTGGGCTGGCCTGGTCACCTCTAACTATCCTCTCCTGCAGGCTTGATTGCCCCGAACTGCCCTCCCTTGCAGGCCTGGTCCCTCCAAAATGCCTCCCCTACTGGCCATCTTGTGGCAGCTATCTTGTGTCCACATGGGAGCAGGATCTTTGACCACATATGGGCAGCCATATTGTGTGCTTGAGTGATGGTCAATTTGCATATTACTCTTTTATTATTGTAGATAGGATAGAGGCCTGGTACATGGTTGGGGGCCAGCTGGTTTGCCCTGAAAGGTGTCCTGGATCAGAGTGGGGTTCCCTTGGAGTATGGGGTGCCTGGGCTAGGGGCCTGTGGTGGTTTGTAGGCTGGCCATGACCCCCAGTGATCCAAGTGAAGGCCTTGGTATCTGGGATTTATTTATCTTCTATAACTGAAACTTTGCAGCCTTGAGCAGAGTCCAGGGAAGGCCAGGAAGCTTGGCTTCCTCCATCGCCAGGGAAACCCAAGCCTCCTGCTTGTTCCAGCTCTGTGGCGGCTGCTATTTTTGTTGGGATTTATTTATCTTCTATAATTGAAACTTTGTAGCCTTGAGCAGAGTTGAGGGCCAGCTAGGGTATGCAGGAAGTTTGGCTTCCTCCATTGCTGGGGAAACCCAAGCCTCCTGCTTGCTCTGTGGCCACAGCCATATTGCTTGGGTTAATTTGCATACTCATTCCTTATTGGCTGGTGGGCATGGCTTGTGGGTGTAGTGGAGGTACAGTCAATTTGCATATTACTCTTTTATTAGATAGAATTACTATGTAGGTTTTTACATTGACCTGTTTTCCAATGAGTCATCAAACCATCCACTGAATTGTTATATATTATAATTTTTAGTCTAAAATACCCACTTTGTACTTTTTAAGTAGATTTCAATTCACTAATAATATTCTACATTTTTCTTATACTTTGTATATATACTGAGTGGCCAATTATGATCTCTGAACACATAATAATCTGGCCACTCAGTGTGTGTGTGTATGTGTGTGTGTGTGTGTGTGTGTGTGTGTGTATTAAAGGCCAAGTGCATGAATTCATGCATGTGTGGGGTCTGGCCAGCCTTGGCAGGAAGAGGGGGCATGGGCGGTTGGCTGGCCTGCCTGTTGGTTGAACTCCTGGTCAAGGGGACAATTTGCATATTAGCCTTTTATTATATAGGATATACACTGAGTGGCCAGATTATTATATGTTCAGAGATCATAATAATCTGGACTCTCAGTGTATATTATATTAATTATAATTATTTTTGTGTGCAATATTGATCCATATTCTGGATAATCATTTTTAAAAAAATATATTTTTTATTGATTTTTTACAGAGAGGAAGGGAGAGAGATAGAGAGCCAGAAACATCGATGAGAGAGAAATATCTATCATCCGCCTCCTGAAACACCCCCCACTGGGGATGTGCCCGTAACCAACGTACATGCCCTTGACCGGAATTGAACCCGGGACCTTTTAGTCAGTAGACCGACGCTCTACCACTGAACCAAACCAGTTTCGGCAATATTCTGGATAATCTTGACACCAATTATAGTTGCTCTTCTTTTCTTTCCTTCTTTTTCTTCTCAGTAATAAGTGTTAAGTTTTGACCCTTAGCATGTACAGTAATTTTGTTGTAAGCAAGTAATTGTGTATAAACAACCAAAGATGCTCCAGATGGCTTTTTTTAGAGTCTTGTCTCTTTCTTCTGTTAGAAAGATTGGCTGAGAAGTTGATTACCTAAATCTGTTCATGGCTAGTGCTAGGTCTGAGGTAAATGAGTTTTAGAAATCTTGAATGAACTTTCCCTTTTTTGTGTTGTTCAAGCATGAGCCTGCTAAACTTTCAATTAATTATGAGTTTATGTGACTCTATTTTCTCACCTCTGAAAGTTTATGTTGGATTCATCTTTACCACCTAGGGATCCACAATTCAGCTGTCCAGCCACTTGCCACATGTAACATAAAAATTAGATAAGTGTGTTATGGGAGAACAGTACAGATGCTTGAGATAAGCCTCCTTTTACTATGTCTTGTGTCCAAAATATACCATGATTTTAGGAATCTGAGCTTGGATAAATTGTAAACTAGCTCACCGGCATCCCACAAAGTTCTGAAATTAAGCAAATTGGACTTAGAGAAAAATTATTGTAAGTCAGAAGCCCCTCAATGTCTAATTTGTGAATCTATATATCTAAATGTATGTAGAAACTAAGAGCATTTGGGATTTCTCTATCTTTCAGCAGCAGTCCTCTAGCTGAGGCTCAGTTCACATCCAACAATACCAAGAGCTCAAAGAAAATTATGGCTGGCTAGATTCAATGCTTTTCAGAATGATTTCCCTGCCTGGAATTTTTGATAATCTATTCCACATTGCTTCTTTGCCTTTTGATATCCTTAATTATGGTTCTTAAAATTGTTTTTTTTCTTGTTCTTTTTTTCCCCAGGGGAAAAATAGATATATATTAATACTTAATACTTCTATGTCATACATAGAATTGCAAGAATTTTCTTCATTCTATTTAATGGTAAAATCCCCATCTTCTCAGATTTTAAAGTAATTCTAAGAGTAAACCATACCTACAAGATGGGTTATGTAAGAAACTCAAAACCTTTTCTGGAGAGAAGGCATAGGTAACACCTACCTGCAGCCTCACACAACAATTTCAATAAAATAAAACTAAAGTACAAAATGGACATTACCCAGAACTACAGGAAAGTCGACTGACTGGAAATTCTACAACGAGAAGGAAAGAGAAAACCAGAAGAAAAATCAGAGGAGCTGTAAAAGCCTAAGGTACGGGGACACGTTGCGCGTGTGCACGCACGGAGAGGACAGAGCCAGAGAGGAGGGGGAGGCTGAGTGCCTGGCTGGTGTTCCCTAGCAGGAAGGAGATAAAAGCTCCGGACTGTGCTGAACCTCAGATCTGACAGCACTGAACCCCAGTTCTAGGCCAGACCCTGGGGACCCAGGCTCATATAGGGGGAGCCTGGGCTGCTAGGCGAAATCTCAGGGGAGTGGCAAAAGGCAGAGCCCCCGGAGGCACGCACATTACATGCAGAGGACTGACTGTTGACTCTGCTGCTAGATTGCCTTAGCGGGAAGGAGACAGTTCTAGGCCAGACCCTGGGGACACAGGCTCACACAGAGGGAGACTGGGCTGTAAGGTGGAAACCCAGGGGAGTGGCAAAAGGAAATCCGGGAGGCGCACACATTGACTGTGCCGCTTGATTGCCCAAGTGGGAAGGAGACAAAAGCTCCAGACTGCTATGAACCCCACTTCCAACCCCACTTCCAACTGAACTGAACCCCAGTTCCAGGCTCATTGGGGGAGAGCCTAGACTGTTTGGTAGCTGGCGAAACTCGAGGGCACCTTACTCTCAGAGGTGCTTTCAACGAGTACTGAAGGACCCTGAGGAATACTGAGACTCAGGAGCCTCATAGGGCAGGGCTGATGGAAGCCAAGGCTGTAGGCTCCACCCTGAAACTCTGCACCATCCAAGCTGAAGACAGAGACTTTTAAGGCTACCAACTCAGGGAAGCTGTGAAAATGC